GACCCGAAGTTAACCCGAGACCCGAAGTTGACCCGACCCGAAAAATGACCCGTCCTTTAACTTCTTTTAGTAAATAATTATATAAGTTATAAAAAGTTTATATTAGGAAATTACACATTAAAATAGACCCAACAACATCTACATGACTACATTGACTTTCATATAATAGCTAAAAAAGATGGTCAAAGTGAGATGTGTGAATAGTGCAAAATGTCAAATCGTTAAGAGTAATTTGGGATGGAGGGGGTATAAGAATAATTCAAAGAAATTATTACAACAATGACAATTATAATAAGAGTACGTATTAAAACTAAGATCAATAAGAGAGTGAGGTATAACTCAATTAGTTAGAGCATCCCTCTTAGTTTCAAGAGATCCTGAAAGTGATTCTCAGTCTAAAATTCTAAACACACAAAAAAAAAGGTTAATAAAAGTCAAACAATTACTATAATCCATGAAAAAATAGCCTTCATAAATATAGCGTTAAAAAATAAATAAATATATATACAAAATTGAATTTAACCCAATGAATCACCCGAATATGACTCGACTAGAAGTTGACCCGAAAATTGGACCCGAAAATTGACCAGACCCTAATTGACCCGACCCGAAAATTGAACCGACCCAAACTGACCCAACCCTAACTTGACCCGACCCGAACTCGACCCAAAGTGTTGACCTGATACCCGACCCGACCCGATTATCGGCTGACCCGAAATCAACCCGAAACCCGAAATGACCCCACCCGGCCCGAACTTCACCCGATAATCTTTAAACTCGAACTTGACCCGACCCGAAATGACCCAACCCATACCCGACCCGAATGACCCATTTTCCAGGTCTAACTGTTCCCGCCAAAAAAAAAACAACAAGATAATGAAAATAAAATTAATATGAATACGCACTTCAGCGGGAGTGATCGAAAATCCTCTCAGCGAGCTCGTCATTTCTAAGACTTCAGCGGGAGTGATCGAAAATCCTTTCCACAAGCTCGTCATTTCTCAGACTTCAACGGGAGTGATCGAAATTCCTCTCAGCGAGCTCGTCATTTCTAAGACTTTAGCGGAGTGACCGAAATTCCTCTCCGCGAGCTTGTCATTCCCCAAATTTAGATCCATTGTAAAACATGCAAACGATATGACAACACAGCCAATAATAACATAACCTGGCCTCCCAAGTCTCCAGGCCGCATCAACACCCTAGAGACTTGAGGGGCTAGGAGTGTGCAGATTAATTTAGCCGGACGACCCGTTGAGCCATGGCCGATAAGGCTACACGCTCAGAACAGATGGCGTGAAAAGAACATCACGCCATCTCTTGAGGGGCTAGTTGTAGGGGATAGCTCATGCTGAGCTATTCCTTCCAGCTGGGCTCAGTTAAGAAGAATGTACCTGCATATAAAGAGTCGACATGAGTGACCTCATACCACCTCTTGAGGGCTAGTTGTATAAGATAGCTCCCGCTGAACTATCGCCCAGCCCCCAGGGTGCGCACTCACTGCCGAGAAAGCAATTAAGGAGGGCTCATCAGCCTGGTGGAGTCAGCCCGTAGGGCTGACCAGGATGAACTTTCCACGAAGGAGATGGTACGACTATAAATAGAGGGTAAAGTACAACAATAAAGGGGTTAGACACTCAAGTTATTATACTTTCTACATCTCTCTAATTACACTTTCTCTCTCTAAACACTCTCTAACTTAAGCTTCGGAGAGGGGTTCCTCGAGCCACCCCCGAGGGCAGTTTACGTGTGCTGCCTTATGTAGGTTGTTAACGGGACTTAGCTCACCCAGCAGAACCCTTGGATCCATACCTGGAACAAATTCTTTAATCGAGGCCAATGGCCGGATGAATATTATTTAAACTACCGTCTGCTCCAACATGAGTACGACTGTCTGCTCCAACATGAGTCAAGCAACCGGCGACGTCCATTCGGGCGAATTCATCGAGGAGAAGCATCTCCTATTTGGGTGGCACATTTCTCTACTAAAACAACAAACGGCCCTACCGAATGCGCTAAGGTAGCGCTCGCAGTCGTTTGATTCAATCTAACTTGAAATCTAAAAAGCACCAAGTTGTCCGCGTGTTAAAGTGCAGACATATGACAACTACTATTTCAGGATTAGAGGCTATCAGACTGCCTGTTTTTGCTATGGGGCAAGGCAGGCGGACTAATAAGTTCTTAATTAAAATGTTAAGAGACTTAGCAATTTTACCATATTACGCGAGGCCTTTGGCCGGATGAATTTTGCTCTATGCAGCTGTATGCCGCTTGGTTTGGGGCAATCACTATAGTGATTGATTGACTCAGAAACCATTCATACTATTCAAAGTATCAAAATTTCTATGTCAATCAATCCACTCAACCGAAACCAAGCGACATCCGGCCAGGGGCAAGAACATTCGCATACTATACAGGTTAATAAACTTAGCCTAAATGCACAAAAATTGGAAGCTTTGAAATTTTTTAAAGCATAAACACCAATATAAACAAAACCAGTCAAACGACCAGATGCTTCATAAAAAGTAACAGCCGTCAAAATTGACGACTATGAATGTTAACTGGCAGAGCTAGGAATTAATTGACAAATCATCCGACCCCCCTGGTCGGTAAAGAAACATAATTACTCGGGACACAGGCCGGAAAAGCATAGAAATTGGCCATTCGGCCGCAGAAGTAAACAACATAAAGCTTAAAGATCAGGGGAGCTTCTCAGCATTGGCATCCGCCTTGTCCTCCGGCGCATGCTCCTTTGTTTCCTGATCATCCTCCTCGTCCCCAGAAGACGAGCCGCCAGACGAGCTGAACTCCTCAGAGGCATTCTTGGCAGACACCTTCTTCTCGGCCGCCTCCTAAGCCTCCCTGAGGAGCCAAGCATTGAACTCGTCATTTGCCTTATCAAACTGGACCTTCCAGGTTTGATAATCGGCAGACGGATGAACAACCGCCCAGGCCGCACGCATGATGACCTCATTATCGTCCATCATTTTTCTAACCAGGGCTTGTTTCTCCTCCTCCATCAAGGACCTATACTTAGTCCGGAGTTGGGTCTCCTGGTTGCTCAGCCGCCCTCGGAGTCTCTTGACCGTCTCCCCAAGGCTAGCCGCCTTGGACTCCGCCTCCTTGAGAGTGTCTAGATTCTCTTCAAGGCCCTTGACTTGGTCCTAGAGCTCCCTCACTCGCTGCTTGGCCGCGTCCAAGTTCTGCTAAACTTGCAGGTTGGTAGACGCTTGGGAATACAACATATCAAGTGTCAAAATCTCATTTTGAGCAATCTCAAACTGAGCTTTGTCCAGAGTAGAGGCGACCCGAGCATTCTCTGCATTTACCTCCCTGGTCTTCTCATTGAGGGGCCCTTTGAGACCGTTCACGCGAAGCATAGCCTGCAAGCGTCCAAACCAAAGAAGCTCATTAGAAACAATTCGACAAAAATATGTATTGTATAAGATAGCTCCCGCTGAACTATCTCCCAGCCCCCAGGGTGCGCACTTACTGCCAAGAAAGGAATTAAAGGAGGGCTCACTAGCCCGGCAGTGTCAGCCTGTAGGGCTGACTAGGCTGAACTCTCCACAAAGGAGATGGTACGCCTATAAATAGAGGGTAAAGTACAACGGAATGGGGGTAAGACAATCAAGTCATTATACTTTCTACATCTCTCTAAGTACACTTTCTCTCTCTAAACACTCTCTAACTTAAGCTTCGGAGGAGGGTTCCTCGAGCCACCCCCGAGGGCAGTTTACGTGTGCTGCCTTGTGTAGGTAAGTTGACGGGACCCAGTTCGCCCAGCAGAACCCTTGGATCCGCACCTGGAACAATTGGCGCTAGAAGGAGGGGGTAGGATCATCTAACCTGAGGTTCACCAATTGAGCTAGGGACTAGTTAGCTAACCACCATGGCCGGAGAAGAAACTGTACAGACACCCATGTCCAAAACTAATGAGACCAGCCAAACACCACAAAAAAACACCCCCAGAAACCGTCGATCCAAAAGGATTCGCCGAAAACCCCAAATCGACCATCTCGCAGAAATCCAACCCCATCGGACCGACATCAGCTGCTGCTAAAGCGGCGTCGAAACCAGTCGACCTGGTGGGATCAAACTCCATTTTCAAATACGAAATGCCATTAACAGGCGCGAACGATGAACTCATTGTTTCAGCACCCGCAGCTCAAAAACAGCAGCCCGTAAATATGCCAGCCATTCTGCAGAACCTCTCTAAGTGCAGTAAGGAGAAGCTGGCTGCAATGACTGCGGTCCTCACCAACATGGGTAAGGGGGCAAGTCCGTCACCGACAAAGGTAGCTGCTGAGCCCGTAGCGAAAAAGCCGGCGTCCTCGACCCTCACCCCTGAGCAGAAAGAGCTCATTCAGCTGAGGAAGAATGTATTGGAGCTGGAAGTTCGTAACCTGAATCTAGAATGGAGTGTGGAGGAAATAACCCCTGCTCGAATCAGCCCGGAGAAGCGAGTTCCACGTAGCAGGTCACCGACCTCAGAGCGAGGACCCAGCCCGGAGAAAGACAAAGGAGCGCGAATCCAGGTTGCTCCAGATGATTCCCCATTTTTCCGGGAGATTCTAGAGGAATCAATGGAGAAAGTAAAGATGCCAAGCTGCAGATACAACGGAACCACAATACCCAAAAGCCACATGTCAGCTTTTGAGAACCATATGGTACTTTACACTATGACAGAATCAGTCTGGTGTAAAGCTTTCCCGCCGACCCTGGAGGGGCTGGCAGCGGAGTGGTATGGAGCCATTCCCAAATGTTCTGCATACTCGTACAGCCAGTTGAAGAGAATGTTCATGGAGCATTTCATAACCCTGGTAGACCGAACCAAGATGACAACCGAGCTGATGTCGTTGGTTCAAGGGAAAGACGAGCCCCTGAGGGAGTTCATCACCAGATTCAACAAGGAGGCAACAACCATCCCAAATATGAGCCATGAGGTAGCGCTACTAGCAATGTAGAGTGGCTTACTACCAGGATCACCATTCAGAGCGTATATGGGGCGTAAGAGCCTCAAAACACTTGATGAAGCGCTGGGCAAAGCGCACGAGTTCATCAAAGCAGACGAGACTGACAGAGCAATGCTGGGTAGGAAAGCACCTGGTGACTCAGCTAAGCGGGCAGAGGTCACCCGGGCAAAGAACACACCCAGGGTGGACCAGCCGAGCAGGGCTGAGCAAAACCGCACAGAAGTGGACAGAGCAGTGGGACTAAGGAAGTCAGACCCAAAGAAAGGGCCAAGGCTTGAGAGGTTTGACCAATATACCCCATTAACCCATTCCAGGTCTCATATATTCAGCGTGAACAACGCTGATGACAAGTGGCAGAGACCCCCAAGGATGGTTAACAGAAATCGTGATACCAGCAAGTGGTGTGACTTCCATAGAGACCATGGTCACACCATTGAAGAATGCACGCATTTGAAAGACAACATAGAAGACTTGGTCAGGAGAGGGTACTTGAATCAGTTTAAGCAGCGCGATGACCCTCCTAGAAGGAGGGATGAAGATAGAGCAGGCCGCCCTGACCGCAGAGGAGGTCAGAGGGGCCCAGCCGGAGACAGGGACGTAGATGGCAAGCTAGAAGGCAGGGTGTACGTGATCAGCGGGGGCCCAGTACATGGGGGGACAGTCAACAGAGCGCGAGCTGACCTACGGGCGATGATTCATCAAAAAAATGACAATGATAAGCGTAGATGGCCACCTCTTCCCCCGCAGCCACAGGTCACGTTTGACGAGTATGACCAGAATGGCATAATTTACCCCCATGATGACCCGCTGGTGCTGACAATGAGAATCGCAAACTGCGAGGTGGAAAGAATACTAATAGACGGAGGCAGTTCAGCCAACATCATATACATCAGTGCGTTCAACGAGCTGAAGTTTGACAGAAAAGACCTGAAGAGGGTGAGCTACGAAGTCACCGGGTTTAATGGATCACGGCTTACCCCAGAGGGTATAATCAAACTCTTAGTCCGAGTAGGGGAAAGATCAAGAAGGCGTGATTTCCGGGCAGAGTTCCTCGTGATAAACTCCCCTTCACCCTACAATGTGATCATGGGAAGACCTCTCATCCACAAGATAGGCGGGGTGGTATCCACCTATCACCTTGCCATGGCTTACACAATTAATGAGGAACGGTCAGCAAAGCTCAGGGGAAGTCAAAAGACAGCCCAACAATGTTACATAACCGCCCTAAAGCAGCCCGCAAGAACCAGACAGCAACCTGGTTCAGAGAGAAGGCCCACTGAACAACCTGAGAGGAAGTCGAGGAAAAGGAAGCGTGAAGAATATCACAGGGAAAAGGATAAACAAAAGCTAGCAATGGAAAACTTTAAGCGCACAAAAGAGGAAATGGCCAAGCCACTTCCCAGTGGGGAGCACGTCACAGTCGAGCTCACAGAAGGTGACCCCTCAAGGACGATGAAAATCGGGAAAGACATTGATCCAGAAGTAGGGGTACACCTCACAGAGCTACTGAGGAAGAACAAAGACGTTTTCGCATTTTCGGCAGATGAGATGCCCGGAATTGACCCAGCAGTCATGGTACACAGGCTGAATGTAAAGGAGGATATTAAGCCGGTCAGGCAGAAAAAACGAAGCTTCTCCATGGAGAAAAACCAAGCAATCCAGGAGGAGGTGGAGAAGCTCCTGGAAGCAGGATTCATTGAACCTTATGACTACCCAGAGTGGTTAGCCAACGTGGTCATGGTAAAGAAAGCAAATGGCCAGTGGAGAATGTGTGTTGATTTCACAGATCTTAATAAGGCCTGCCCAAAGGACTATTACCCGCTGCCGCGGATATATCAGTTGGTAGACTCAACCAGCGGACACGCCCTACTAAGCTACATGGACGCCTATTTAGGGTACCATCAGATCAACCTGCATGAGCCAGACAGACAGAAAACCTCATTCATCACTGAAGGGGGAGTGTATAATTACATAGCTATGCCCTTCGGGCTGAAGAATGCTGGGGCAACTTTTCAGAAGGCAATGGATAGAGTATTCCTCCACCAGAAGGGTAGGAATGTTGAAGTATACGTTGACGACTCAATTGTTAAGAGCGTCACGCAGGCTGGACATATAATGGATCTGGAGGAAACATTTGCCACCCTGAACAAATATAAAATCAAACTCAACCCGAAGAAATGTGTCTTTGGGGTGAGCTCGGGAAAGTTCTTGGGTTATCTGATCAGCGAGAGAGGGATAGATGCCAATCTAAAAAAGGTCGAAGCAGTCCTTAGCCTACCTGAGCCTAAGTGGATCAAGGATATCATGCGGTTGACAGGCAGAATGGCCGCGCTGACCAGGTTCTTCAGCAAGTCAACGGATAAGGCCTTGCCATTCTATCAGTTGTTGAAGGGGAACAAAGAATTTAAGTGGGGGGCTAAAGAGAAAGAAGCCTTTGAGGGTATTAAGGAGCATCTGACTAAGCTCTCAACAATGATCAGCCCGGAGCTGAGGGAAAAGCTACAACTGTACATCTCTGCATCAATACAGACAATCGCAGCCGTTTTGCTGGTAGAAATACAAAAGCAGCAAAGGCTAATATACTTCGTGAGCCACGTGCTGACCGAGGCAGAGCAAAGGTACCCATTGGTAGAGAAGCTAGCCTTCGCAGTGGTCACAGCAGCAAGGAAGCTAAAGCCATATTTTGACGCGCATGTAATAGAAGTTCTCACAAACCACCCGCTGGAGAAAGCATTACAAAAAATGGATGCATCGGGCAGACTCTTAAAATGGGCAATTGGACTTTCTGAGTACGAATTAGAGGTCAAGTCTAGAGCAGCCATCAAGGCACAAGCTTTAGCAGACTTCATAGTGGAAGCTTCCTACGAGGAAAAAGAAGATGATGTTGGGGTCTGGAAGGTGGAAGTGGATGGGTCCTCGGCCCAAACGGCGAGTGGAGCAGGAGTCATAATCACATCTCCAGAAGGAAACGTATTCGAGTATGCCATAAAGATTAAGTTCAAAGCATCGAATAACGAAGCTGAGTACGAAGCGGCGCTGGCAGGCCTGCGTATGAGCCTTGCAGCCAGAGCCCGCAAAGTACACCTGCAAACTGATTCTCAGCTCATTGGCAGCCAATTGCAGGGGGCGTATGAGATAAGGGAAGCCACCATGCTGAAGTACATAACCAAGGTAAAGGAATTGGGTGCCCAGCTAGTCCACTTCCAAATAGATTTGGTCCCCAGAGCAGGAAACTCTCAGGCCGACGCCTTGTCCAAGTTAGCAAGCTCCACTTTACAAAGCCTAACAAGGACAGTGATGGTCGAAGTATTAGAAGAAAGCAGCATTGCCGAAAAAGAGCAGGTAAACTGCAGTGAAAGGTGAAGAAAGACGCCAACTGGTATGTAGTGATGAACGGGGAACTCCACAAAAAGGGCTTCTCAAAGCCGCTGCTGAGGTGTATTCCAGAGTGGTAGTAGGAGGGCATTATGGAACAAGCCCACTCCGGAATATGCGCCAACCACATTGGTGGAAAAGCATTGGGAGTAGAGGTCCTCAGTAGGGGGGCATATTGGCCAACTCTCGCACAAGACGCACTAGCATATGTGAAAAAATGTGACAAGTGTCAAAAGTATTTACCAGTCATAAATCATCCAGCAAACGATCTAACTCCAATCCTCAGCCCGATCTCGTTTGCTCAGTGGAGAATGGACATATTGGGACCTTTCACCACTGGGTCAGTGGGCAGGAAGTATCTCATTTTGGCGGTAGATTACTTTACAAAGTGGATAGAGGCCGAACCCACTAAGTACATAAAGGCAGCCCAAGTCAGGACATTCATATGGAAGAGCGTCATCACAAGATTCGGGGTGCCACAGTGTATAGTATTTGGTCATGGGTGTCAATTTGATTGAGACACCATAAAGGACTACTTGGGAGACATGGGCACAAAGTATGCAAGTGCCTCAGTCTGCCATCCGCAGAGCAATGGTCAAGCAGAAGCAGCAAACAAGCTGATCCTGACAGACCTGCAGAAGAAGCTGGAGGAGTACAAAGTCTTGTGGGCAGACCTAGTCCCGGAGGTCTTGTGGGCAAACAGGATCACTGAGAAGGAGTCAACCGGTAAGAGCCCCTTCACCCTAGCCTACGGGGCTGAAGCAGTTGTCCCAGTGGAAGTACAAATCCCCAGCCTGAGAATACATCACTATGAGCAGCAAGAAAATGCAAAGCATATGATGGAAGAGCTAGACTTTCCTGCCAGAAGTAAGGCTGAAAGCAGCTCTCAAGTTGGCAGCCCAGAAGAGCAGGATTTCAAAAGCTTTCAACAAGAGGGTCAAGCATAGGGAGCTCCTGCCCGGAGACTTGGTCCTTAGAAGGACAGCAGCAGTGGGAAGAGGAAATCAGCATGGAAAGCTATCAGCAAATTGGGAAGGCCCTTTCATCATTCACGAGCAAGTTGGACCAGGAGCGTTCCTCCTTGCATATCAAGAAGGACAGATCTTAAGAAACAGTTTCAATGCGGATGTGTTAAAGAATTATTTTGTTTAAACAGTCTAAAAAAATCAAACAAACAAACATAGTTGTTTCAAGTCTGATAAACTTTTATTCAGTCCATGTTATGTTAATTAAGGCATTTAAGCCATTTTTATTAAATGAAATACAAGCCTCTACGTGAGGAGTATGCTGCATAAATTTGTTTCATATGTTATGCCCAAGCATCATATGCTAACATGCAGAAGTCGAATAAAGACAATAACAAAGTGTCAGAGGCAAGAAGCACTCTAGCGCAAAGTGGTAAAGCAAACACATCCCTCACTAAAACTTCACCTCACCTGCTCACAGCAAAACAGGGCACCACCTCGGGGACGCCTGAGGGGGAAGCCTGACACGTTCAGCTGGAGCAGGAGAAAAAAAAAGGGGGGAAAAAGAAGAAGATGAGCTATGTGGGCAACACTAAGGCTCTCTTAGTCCCACGCAGCTTATCTCTTTGAGGGGGAGAGGAAAGGAGAAGACAACCAGACAATAAGCCCTTACGAAAAGAAGTAGGCACAAAAAGACAAAGTCGCAGCATAAACAAGCTGAATGACATAAATGAGTCACAGCAAAACAAGCTGAATGACAACTCACAAAATGACAAAGTCGCAGCATAAACAAGCTGAACGACATAAATAAGTCACGACAAAACAAGCTGAATGACAACTCACAAAATGACAAAGTTGCAGCATAAACAAGCTGAATGACATAAATAAGTCTCAGCAGGGAGGCCCAACCTACAAGGCCCCACCAAATGCAATAAAAATGCTGCAGCACTAAAAGATCTGGATACTGCTAAGAAAAGCATAGCTCCAGGCAAGTGTGCAAACAATAAAATAAACAACTGGCAAACAGCAGAAGAAGATCATAAAAAACATGCATTGTAAAGCTGAACCTCTGCCCCCTAGGGAAGATTAAACATTCAGCAAAACAGTCACGGGACAAATGAAGCCAAGCCCTCGTCCACCAGGACAAGGAAACACTCGGCAGGTAAAGTTAGGAGAACACAAATTCAAGTTAAGCTGGGCAGACCCAGCAATAAAAGACAAAGTACTCAGGAATTACACAAAGAAACATAATCTTTGGCAGGTATACACCCCAAAGATAGTAACAAAAACTACCTAGTTACAACAGATCTGGGTGAGGAAAACTCAGAGGAACCACTAGAGTAGGAGGGTGACAGCCGCCATAACCTTTATTGATCACCAGTCAAGGACTCCACTCCGATAGCTGCAGCAACGTCAAGGCAAAGAGGCACCTCCAAGTTCAGTACATCCTGGTTGGGAATCTTGCAGCCAACATCACGAGGATGATCAGCGGGGAGGTCAAACAAGCCAGCCTCACCTGCAGCTTCAACCTTAGCCTAGAAAGCGTTGAAGCGAACCTGCTGCTCCTCGCCTTCACCATATAAGCTGCTAACGCACCGAGCCGCAGCCTCCCATCCACCATCATGGCGATCAGCCAATAGCTTAGCAAAAGCAGGAGAGAGCGCAAAAGATCTGAGAGCCTCTTTCCTAGCCGCTTCCAGCTCAGCAGTATGCGCAGCTCGCAGATCTGCTATTTCCACCTCCAACCCCTTCACCCTGGCCTGAGAGGTCCCCAACTATTCCTCGCAGCTCTTCAACTTGGTCTGAGTGAGCTGAAATTCTCCAAACTAGAGTTGCAGGGCATCCGCCTTCTCCCTCAGCGGAGTCACCTCACTGGTCATGGCATCCCCCTCAGCCTGAGCTTGCTGGACCTCCAAATTCTTCTGAGAGAGAATTATGCCTTGATTCTAATACTCCTTCTTTACTAACAACAGAGCGTTGGACAAATCTCCTACAGACATAACCAGCTGCAAGAAAAGCAGAGGAAGAGAAGGGTGAGCCCAAGCGAGAGTTAACAAAAGAAGTTAACAAAATAAAATAAAAGTAAAATAAAGCAACAGCCACAGAATAAGCAGAGAAGAAAAGAAAGGGTGAAACGAGAAAAAGAAAGACCGAAAGCAGAAACTAACCTTCTGCAGGTCATGGCAGGCCGTAGCAGCTGGGAGGCTGACTGAGCTACGCGTAGAATCCGTAGGAAGACAAACCCCCTAAGTCAAATGGTACCCTAAGGTACCGCCCTTCTGAGGGTCGTCCACAAACAAAGATGTGTCAGCCCTTACATTTATTAAGGCCCGAAAAGAAGCGTGCTCAGCTCCAGCAGGACAGAGTATGGGGCGGAGATGAACATCAATAGGAACCTCACCAAACTCAATAGCCCCAGTGGGGCAGAAAGTCCCTCCAGTAGAAAGTGAGGTCGTAGACAAGGAATTCTCAAAGGCATCGCTCAAGAACTGGTGAACACAGCGGTTAAGTTCACTGGAGTTCTGGTTGTCTTCCCCACCAGCGTTCCCACCTGGAAGCCTAGTGTTGGCAGAGGCGGAGGCAAGAGGGTCTGGACCAGAAGAAGTGCGAGCCTTTTTCGCCTCTAGCTCATCTCCGGCAGGGGCAGAAGACACCGGATCGTCCTCCAAGTCAATCACTGGACGATCTTGCTGGTGAGAACCCCCTGCTCGGGAGAGCCCACCCCGTGAAGCGCTTTAGAGCCGCCCTCTTAGCCCGTAGGGACGCGGCGAAAATCTAGGAAGCTCCATGATAGACTCATCAGGGAGCTGAAAATCAGCGGCTGCAGCAGACGGAACAGTAGTATCCTTTGCGGCGGTAGTATCATCAACAGAAGAAGGAAATAGCAGAACATGCTCAGCAGAAGAAACGGGTTTTTCACCCGCAGCAATAGTCTCAATCCCCTCAGAGGGAAACTGGAGAACACTGTCAGCAAAATCGTCGGCAGTATCCTTTGGTTCATCAGAAGCTTGGTCACGTTGCCTTTTGGCAGTAGAGGTCTGAGGTGCCACCTGGCCAGAAGCCGCGATAGACTGCTTCTCAGAGGAAGCAGCAGGCGCCACTAACGCCTCAGAATCTGAAGCCTCCTTTCGAGGAGTGGGGCGAGTCTCACGCCTACTCCCAACAGTAGAGGACGAAGGTTCAGGCTCAGCACGGCTGGACTAAGCGCGCTCACCAGTAGCTGTCGTGCCAACAACAGCCCGCAGTTCAGCAGAAGCCAGGCGCACCTCGCCCTTCAGAGAACCCGCAAACACCTCCAGCGTATAAAAAAGATGAGGAAGATTCTCAAGAGTGGCGGTCAAAGGGTCCTTTCAATTATCAGCCAGCCCGAGCATACGCTTGTCCAACTGGTCATAGCCTGAAAAAAACAGCAAAAAAGTTAAATAAGACGAGGAAGGAAAAGGAAAGGCAGAAAAACTTACCAGACTCATGCGTACGGCACAAACGCACGGCAGAGTGCTGTTCATTGCCCACAATGTAAATGGAGTTGGGAAGCCAGACCTTGGAAAACTTGGAGTCACCAGTCCCCGCTCCCTGTAGAGCCTCAAAAGCTTCTGTCTCACGGGCAGGCTCAGAGGGAGAAATTGTGACCCCGGCCATGTTGGTACGAATCTCTCTAAAGTTGCGTGGGGCAGCAAAGTTGGAAGGCACTCTCACCCAGAAGAACTTGCCAGTCCAGTCCTTGAAACGTCCAAGTTTTGGGTAGGACAAGACCCTACTCTCCTTGGGAGCAACATAGTACCACCCCGACACAGTCCTAGAAGCAGACCTCTTCAGGCTCATGAGAGACTAGAACAAGTGCAGGGACTCAGGATACCTTCGAAACCTTAGAAACCACAGTAGGAAAATCAGGGTGTGAAGGGAAGCAGGGTGCACCAGAGAGATGCAGAAGTTGAAAGCACGAAGCAACTTCTCTAAGGTGGGGTCCAAAGGAAACCTCAAACCCAAATCTAGCTGCGAGGCAAACACAGCAATATGACCTGCAGGGGGAGCCGATAACTTCGCACCATCAGCGGGGAGAACCAACTTGTAACCCTCCCCAAAACCATAGAACTTTTGCCCAACAACGGCCAGATCTAGCCTTTCAGCATCCTTGCACCAACCAGAATCCAACACACATTTCTTGGGCCCATAACACTTGTCATCCAGAAAGAATTCAGTTTTGCCCTCCTCTATGGGCTCCACAACATAAATGGGCTAACAGTCGTAATATGAGTGGTCTCCAGGAGACTCAGTCATTCTGCTTGATTGAACTGCTGGGGAAGGAGACGGTGATGGAGTCCTAGTATTTCTGCCTCGCACTATATAATGATCAAATCGATGCACGTCAGCCATGTCATCAAGCCAAGAAAAACTGTTTAAAGGCTGAACATGGGGAATGGGGCTAACTAGAGACACGTCAGGGGGATTAGCCTTGACAGCATCAGCTAACTCTTTATGGCGCATTGCGCGCAGCCTCAAGCGAGTAAGATGGGATAAAGGAATCCCATCCGGCGTGAGCACTCGCTCGCAATAGGGATCAAAGAAATCAGGGCGGGGCCTGCGCTGGAAAGGGCGAAATGCACTACCCTCAACGGGACGACTACTGCCCGACCCAAACACAGCAGCAGGAGTCGCAGCAGTACCCGCCCCGCTCGCAGCAAGAGGAAAGTCAGGAGGGATAACAGTTTGAATAGGGGTAGGAGAAGAAGAAGGAGAAATAGGAGAAGTGTGCGCAGGGCGCTCACCTGAAAGAGAAGATTGGGAAGAGGAATCCGATCTAGTGGCCGTTTGAGGCTCACTCATGTTTTGACTATCAGAAGCGTAAGATATTATGAAATCTACAAGGAAATACAGGCCCGCAAAGGAAAGAAGAAGCAATGGGGCACCAGAAAATCAAAGAATCAGTTTAGGAACAATGAAGGAATAAGAAGAAAAAAGCCAAGAACGCAAATACAACAACA